ACAACAGAGGACACGGAATCGTCAACAGCCTGGGCGGCCGACTTGATTGTGTCACCGGCAGCCGAATAGGCAGATCCAGCCGCATCACCAGCCGCTGAATAGGCAGACCCGGCTGCATCTCCGGCAGCCTGGGCAGCAGAAGCTGCCGACTCCCGAGCTACAGAGGCAACAGATGAGGCAGATCCAGCAAGGTCGGTAGGCGTAGGCGTAGCCGTAAGAGATGAGAGGGCAGAGGAAGCTCCAGCCATAAAGCTAGCGTATCGGTCCTGGGCAATACCAAGACCAGCGAAGTAGTTCAACTTGGCCTGCTCGTAATACTTCTCCATCGACGATGATGGAGTGGGCGTGGCGAGACCCATAGCGATGAGTGCGCTCTGGTACTGGATCTCAGCCCACAGACGGCCCTCGTTGAGCCTCTGAGAAGCGATAGACTCGATGCGTTCCCAGTCAGCCCAGTTAGGGATAGTGGTCGTGGCAGGGAGCTGGGTAGCCGTTGTAGCGGCCTCAACAGCATGGTTGAGCTTATCGCCAGCAGCTGAAACGGCGTTGTCGTATGCCGAGGAGACGGAAGCGAATAGCTGCTCATGGACTGGCTTGGGGGTGCCATAGATCTGGGCAGACACGATAGACAGAGCACTTGAGTACTGTTCAGATGCTCGAGAGACAGCTGTAGAATAAGCTGCCTGTGCTGCGTCGGTGGCACTGGCAATATAATCCGTGTCCACGTAATCCTCGAGGACGACTTGTCGGTGGGGGACTTCCTGAGCCGCGGCGCCGAGGAAGGCTGGCTTGACATGCTGCTCGTTGGACAGCGGCGTCTCATCGCGGTGCGTTAGGGGATCCTCCTCGATCTCGACGAGGGGCTCGTCGTCGGCCGGGAGAGGTTCTTCACTACCGTTGCTGACTATTGAATGGGTGTCACCCATGAGCACTTCAGATGCTTCCGAGGCAAAGGGGGCCGACGTACTGCTGTCTTCTGGTTCTGCGTCCTTTGTGGCCGACTCGAACGTTTCTGAAAGTTGGCTTGAAACCTCTTCAATCACACTGCTGGCAGACTCGGAGGCTGATGAGGCCAGGGCTTCTTCAGTCTCGGAAGCTTCGTCCGCAATGCTGCTGGCGCTCTCCTGTCCGTCAAAAGCGAGGCTGGAAGCATCGCTAACTACCGACTCAATCGACTCGGAGATGGCCGAGGTGGCCTTTTCGATAACATTCGGTTCATCGTCGACAACCGAAGAAACCTCCTCCTTGACAGGCTCAGCAATAGACGACACAAAGTCCTCCAGGTCTTGCTCAGCCTCTTCAACCTGAGAGGTGGCCTCCTCAGCAGAAGCGGAGAGGCTAGAAACGACGTCATCTTCGGCAGGGGTCTGCTCGTCGGCGTCCTTGGACTCTTCGGCCTCCTTAGCCGCGATGGCTTCCTCGGCGGCAAGCTTCATGGCGTCGCTGTCAAATTCATCCGAGGAATCTCTGGCCACAACCTTCCAGCGGGCAACCTCCTTGAGTCGAGCAAGCTCCTTAGCAGCCACAGAAGCGATCTCCATGCCCTCATCCTCAACCTGCGCAGATGCGTCTTGCGCCTGGAGGAGGCTGGGGTGCGTGACGATCAGCTGCTTGAGTTGCTCGGTCCATTCGTTGAGGGTGCTCTTGAGCTCATGGTACTTGGCCCAGTCCTTGTATGTGACGCCATCAGTCCATGCCCACCTCATGCCAATTTGCTGGAGTGCGAGGTTTCTAGTCTCGTCCAGAAGCTGGAAATGAACATCGGCAACGGTAATGACTGTCTCCTGAAGCTCCTTCTCATAGCCCTCGCGCCATTGTCGAATGGCCTGGGCCTTCTTCTTAATGGCCATGCCGGCAGATCGTACCGCAGCAACAATATTCTCGTCTACATTGTCAGTGTTCTCATCGGCCGATCCAGCCAAGGCCGAGATCTTGATCCGAAGAGCTTTGAGCTCAGAGGCAATCGTCGACTCGAGGTCGTCAAATAGCTGTCTGCCAGTGGTCTGGACATTCTCCTCGATCATGCGCTTCGCAATCTCGTCGACACGTTCTTCCAGGTCATTGGCACCCTCATCAGCTTGAGAAGCAAACTTGGTCTGCCAAGTGTCCAGGTCATGGGCCACCATTTCTCGGGCCTTTCGTCGCTTCTCACTCTCGTTCTCGGTGGGAGGAGGAGCCTGCACAGGGTTGATGTACTCCTGAGTGACAGACTCGGTCACAGGCTCGGGGCTCTCCGTGGCGACTGGGACCTCAGAGGATGTCTCGACAGAAGTTGTGCTCTGTGGAGAGGGCCTCTGGAATGACGAAGTGGTGGTATCTGTGACATAGCTAAGAGACGTAAGTATGGCGCTTTAACAAGGAACGTCGAGCATCTTACCTAGTCGAGTAGTTATCGTGGACAGGCTTGACCTTGGTCTTGTAGCGACCCAGGCGTTCACCAATACGGACGAGCTGAGGTTCGACATTCTGAACGTAGACGACACGGATGTGAGGCCAGACGCTTCTGTCAAGGAAGGCATAGGTCTTGTTCCAAGCCCAGTAGGTCGTGGGAAGGGCAGTTCGGACGGTGAATTCAGAGGCTGCGTCATAACCCTGAACGGCATATGGCTGCACGAACTCGTAACCTGGTCGCAAATATTCGTAGTAGACTTGTAGGCCGTTGGTGCGAGCAATGTCGTAGTAGGGGCCAAGGGCCTCTCCAGCCTGCTTGACATAAGGGCCAACGGTTTGGTCGTACTGCGCCTGCGCAAGACCCTGGTACTTGACGAGCTGAGGCTGGCCATTCTTCTCCCACTGAGCCCAAGCATAATCCTGCGCCTTCTCGGCCCAGGGAGCTCCGTATTGGATCGCATATGCGCGAGTGGGTTGCCAGACTTTGCTCTCAACAGTCTCGTAGTACGGGCGGGCGACTTCGACATAGGGCGCCGCATAGTGGTCGTAGTAGGGTTGGACGTGAGGCAGCACGGCGTCCTTGACCTGGAAATAGGGTTTGCAGATGGACGGGGAGGTCTCGTCGCAGGCTTCAAGGGACGAAGGGCATCGGAAGAGGACGGTCAAGATGGCAGCCCATGTTGCGAGTCTGGGGGAGTACAAGTTAGTTATCAGCTAATGGCGACTTAGAGTGCAAAGATGAATTGACGCTGATGAAAGAGCGGCCAGAGCAAAGCTCGGGCGAACTGGCAGCGATGACGTGCAAACAGGACATACCTTGCGACGACATTGAATGTCCAAGCCAAGAAGCTTCGTCTCTTCTTGACAGCTCTTCTTCGGCCGGCTAGGGGCTTTCCATTCGCCATGCCGTTGGTGTGGCCGTTGCCGTTCATGATCGAGCCGGCGGACTCGGCCATGGTTGATAGAAGCACGCGCTGCGGTCAGGACGGTCGATGACGGGAGCTTCCGAAGAGGGGAGCAATCAAGCTAAAAGATGATGGAAAGTATCAAGTTTGATTGTTCAAAGTGGCGCAAAAGCGAACGACTTCTGATGAAATCCGACTCGCGATGGGAGAGACGTATCCAGCCCTTCCTGCCAGTCAGTTTCACGATCCACGAAGCCAAGTTGGGAATTTTCGGCCAGCGAGCGACTCGACTGGGAAGCTCGGGGAGAGGTGCTTACTTTTTGGATAGGCTGCAGGGGGTCAGTCCGGCAAGCGTGATGGATCTCGGAACAGGAGCAGGAGTGTTTCTGCGACGTAACTCGAGACGAGAGCGAGACGATGGGCTTGAACGTGCAACACAAACGGTCACTTGTGTGAGCTTCTTTGACCTTTTATTATTTTTCTACCAGGAGATGAACAAGAGGGCAGGAATGATGGCAACACCGGAGCTGAAGTCGTTGTTCCTTGGTTGGAATTGGAGGGCACCAGCGCATGTACAGTGGTGTCATCCGTTCCCCCACCAGGTTTTAGCGGTTCGCATCAGCGCGGCCTGGCACTTTTAGCGGCATTTGCTCAGCGATTTGCAGCCTGTCCTGCATCTTCGAAACACTTGATGGATGGTTGCGACGTCATGGAGAAGCGCAGAAGCTTGCTTTGGTCCAGATTTTCTGTGGCATCATGGCTTTTTGGGATCCGAGAGACAAGATTACTGGCACTGATTGGTTGCTATTTTGACTGGAATGCAGAGTCGTGATCTGGAGGTTGGGGCAACGTGAATCGTTTATCAGGACTCCAAACATGGAACGTCAGGGGATGCCGTGATGGTAACTACGGTTATTTTAACGTGTTTTACCATCAAGCCTCGGCTGCGTTTCCTTACCATTAATTCCAATATTAACAACTCTTCAAAGTAACAAGAGCCATCTTGAACAGACCAGATCCATCGCAATCGATCATGACCATCACGAATCTCCTGGTTCAGCTTCATCATGCTCTCAAACGATGATCATTTCCCATGTGACACGCGCCTCTCGGTCCATGACATCAGCTGCGCACATCAAACTGCCAGTGCTGCCTCTGACACGTGAGATTTCACGGAAAGCAGCGATGTCGGATTATCTACTTCTCCGAAGCCTCGCTCGCCGTTTCGGAACTCACACATCGCATTGCGTTGGGGCTGGATTCCGCCAACCGTACCTTTCTCCGCCGTGTTGCGTCTTGTGGGGTCGGAGTGGCGGTACTGTAGTTGCAGCCCAGGCCGACAGCCACTGTGGAATTATTAACCACCACGTCTCATCACCTCTATTTTGAGGCCGACGACTACTCCCGGTCACCTTGTCGACTCTTCACTCTCGACTGAAGAGGCACATGCTCACCGGCTTGGCCGACTGCATTGTTGCCGCTACTTTACTTGTCAGGTCACCTTTTCCTGCCTTCGTGTCCCGTTCGCCGCTTCGATTCCCCGGTCTTAGGTCCTCTCGCGCCCCTCGAACATCCTCTTGATCGGCCAGCGCATGGTTCTCCCAACAATTCCTTCACAATAAGCCCCTCGTGGGCGCGATCGATTTCTTCTCGAATCGCCATCGCTGAATATTATTTGCCGTCATGGAGGACCTCACCTCGAGCATGAAGCTTAAGGGCCTTCACCGAGCCGCCACTCGATCCGATGACATGAATCAGAATCAAGATGCTGCACCTGGGATTTGTCGAATCTGCAGAGGGGAGGCGACTCCGGAAGAGCCTCTCTTCTACCCGTGCAAATGCAGTGGTAGTATCAAATATGTCCACCAGGACTGCTTGATGGAGTGGCTTTCCCATTCTCAGAAAAAGTACTGCGAGCTTTGCAAGACGTCGTTCCGTTTTACCAAGCTGTACGCGCCCGACATGCCTCAGTCCCTCCCGGTACACGTTTTTGTTGGACATTTGGCCAAATATTTGTTTCGGAATGTCTTGGTCTGGCTTCGTGCTGCCATGGCCATCAGCGTCTGGCTATGCTGGTTGCCCTATTTTATGAGATCCATCTGGTCATTCATGTTCTGGGTCAGCGATGAAGGCTTTGGCAACACTTCTATGCTCTCGCACAACAATGAAACTACGGATGCAGCACTTCAACTGGCTGCAGGCCTCGATACCGGGACATGTCCCTCGAGTCCCCTCTTTGCGCCCACGACGACATCTGCTTCAGCCGCCGAAGCCCTCCTCGAAACCCTCTCTGGCCAGAATATCTCCGAGTTTTTGATGCGCATTCTCCTAGGCTCGCTGGGAGTACCCGTCAGGTTTGATCGATCCGACTCATCTCTGGAATCTGTCAATGCCTCATTGGAAGCTGCATCGATTGGCACAGCGCCACCTTCGTTACTTGGGGAGGTGGCTTTCTTGAACAACCTCACCCGGAACCCAACGCTTAATCGGACCGTTATTTCGGTTATTGAGGGTCAAATCATCACTGTCTTGGTCATCATTTGCTTCATTCTGGTCATTTTGGTCAGGGATTATGTCGTTCAGCAACAGCCCGAAATGAACATGCGCGCAGCCTTTGCCGGCCCCGAAAATCCCCTGGCAGCCCAAGAACCCATGCTTGTCCGGGCTGAGATTGCAGAAGACCTGCGGGGTCCCGATGAGTCGGATGACGAAACTCTGGATGATGGGGATATGCCTCTTATCGGCCCCGATGAAGCTTTCGCTGCCGAGGTCGAGCAGGTTGCTAACATACGACTCCTCCGTCGACCATCATCCGATCTTCGCGTTCCTGTAGGGATGGTTGAATCCGAGTCTTCTCCTCTTGAGCCTCGTCCTGTTGAGGCTCTCCATTTTGAGCCTCGTCATGTTGAACCTCGTCCTGTTGAGCCTCGTCCTGTTGATCCAGTTGCTGCCGAGGAGCCCTCTACGGTTTATGACTACATGCGCATATACCACAAGGCAGGCGGCGAAGCTGAGAGAATCCTGCAGATTATCGAAGAAGAAGGGCTTCAGGACAGACTTGCATATTGGGTGGACGTTACGCGCCGATCCATCCGGGATCGAGAAGGCGGACCATCTGACGTTGCCCGACATGCAGAACAAGCTGATGGAAGAGACCACCCAGAAAGCCCAGGTTCCACCGCAGCAAGCTCATCCAGAAAGGCCTTCACCCCTCCCTCTGAGGAATTCCCCATCTCCTTTGATGAAGCTGGCGATTCGGCATCCGGAAAGGGGAAGGATAAGGAACCGCTACCCCCTCTTCCTGATCAGGACTTTGAGATAGATCCCTGGACAGGAGCCTTGTCACCAAACCCTTCTCGCCCGCGTGCCGTATCTGACGGCCCTCAACTCCATGACACTATCAATCCATTGGCCAACAACAGCTGGTCATTCGCTGGCCTCCCCCAAAACCCCGAGGAGGAGGGTTCTTCCTCCCAGGCCCGTGACCAACCCCCGGCCCGTGGCCCGTACGGCAAGTTCAAGAAATCCCGTTCTGGGCCAAGAAGCGATGTAGCTGTGACGGGATTCGATGAAACTGATGTATCCGATGTACCTGATGAGCCCGAGCCATCAAGCGTTCGTCATGACTTTGGCGAGTTCAGGGGTCAACAGGATCAACGCCTTCCTCTTGATGACCACCACCATGATAGACGAGAGACTCCAGAAGCACAACTACCTGTCCAGGGCAATGCTGCTGCCGCGACTGCCGGTGGTCAGGATGATGGCCCGGCACCTGGCCTTGTCGGAAGGGTGACCGATTTCATGTGGGGCGACTTGGACGAGCAGCAACACGCCCTTCAAGATCTCCACCACGCCGACGACGATATTGGCAACCTTCGCAATGATCTTGACGAATGGGAATTTGACCTTGACGACCTTGGCCGGGACGATCCCCCCGGAGTCGGCGGTGTTGACGACGAGCCCGAGGATCTTGGTGATGCCCCCGGACCTGGTCTTGACCAAGAAGCTATGGAAGAATTGGAAGACTTTGAGGGAGTCATGGAGTTGATTGGCATGCGAGGTCCTATCGCTGGACTCTTCCAGAATGCCATCTTCTGTGCTGTCCTCGTCTCGGTGACAATCTTTGCTTGCATCTTTGTTCCATACAACATTGGACGTGTAAGCGTTTGGATTCTTGCCAACCCCATGCGCCTAGTTCGCCTGCTTTTTGAGCTCTCAAAGCTTCTTCAGGATGCTGCTGTCATGGCCGCCGGTCTGGCCTCTTGGGTTATTCTGAACATCATTGACATGTTCACCGGCATCATTGGAGGCTTTATTGGATCTCAAGTCCTATCAGCCAGAAAGGCTGCCTGGATGTTGTGGACGAGCGCCGGCTCCCGAGTCTTGGATTATGCGTTTATGGACTTTCCCATGTCCGCCTCGGAAATGCAGAACTTTTCTGCCATCAGTCATGGTGCGCTCATTGCTGTCAAGCAGAACATTGGCGCTGTTTTCACAACCATTAGTGACTCGGTGGGCTTCGTTCTCGGGGGTGGTCTGCTATCAACTGGCCTATCTCTGGAGACTATCACCTCCGCAGGCGACATGGCCTGGTCCAACCTGCTCGCTCTTTCATCCGCGTTCCTGAACCCGAACTTCTGGGTCATTGATCTCAGCGAGCCCGATGGACCAGCTATCATCAATCCTGTCCTGGCTTACTGGTCTGGGTTGGATCGCTTCTGGGCCATCCTAGCTGGTTATGTGACGATTTTCTTCGCTGGCGCCATGTACCTGAAGCGAGGAAGCCCATTCTCGAGGGGTCACATCCTGCAAGCGTGGGAGGCGGGTGTCATTGACACTTTGCATCAGGCCAGTGGCATCATGAAGGTCATCATGATCATCAGTATCGAGATGCTTGTCTTCCCCCTCTACTGTGGCCTCCTTCTCGACGGTGCCCTTCTGCCCCTGTTTGAGAACACGACCTTCAAGTCTCGGATGCTCTTCACCTATAATTATCCTCTGACCTCCGTCTTTGTTCACTGGTTCGTTGGCACTGGATACATGTTCCACTTTGCACTGTTTGTGTCGATGTGCAGGAAGATTATGCGACAGGGTGTTCTCTGTAAGTCCCCCTTATTCTGAAGCCAAATTTCATAGCTAACTTTGCAACAGACTTCATTCGTGACCCGGATGATCCCGAGTTTCACCCTGTTCGTGACGTCCTAGAAAGGAACCTAATGACACAGTTGAGAAAGATTCTCTTCTCGGCATTTGTGTATGGCGCACTTGTTATTGTCTGCCTGGGTGGTGTTGTATGGGGTCTCTCCTACTCCGTGCCTGATATCCTCCCGGTTCACTATTCCTCCAATGAGCCGGTCCTCGAGTTTCCAGTCGACCTCCTCTTCTACAACTTCCTCATGCCGCTTGCAGTTAACTTCTTCAAGCCTGGCGATGGGCTTCACGCCATGTATACGTGGTGGTTCAGGACATGTGCGCGCAGCTTGCGACTCACCTTCTTCCTGTTTGGCGAGCGCAGAATCGACGAAGAGGGAAGCCTCCATATTGGAGCTGACCGCAGGTTTCGAGAACTTCCCTGGTACAAGTGCTTCTTCTTGGAGCTGAACCACAAGTATCATGTTGTTCCCAAGACCTGGACAGACTTTTTCGATGGGGGTGATGCCAAGCCTAGAGCTCCTCTCACCCAGAGCGAAATTCACGCTCTCACTCGGGCGAAGAATCGTCTAAGGGACGCTAACCAGCTGAACCAAAGTGGTCACTTTGTTCGCGCTCCAGCCTCGGACCGCGTCAAGATTCCCAAAGGCAAAAGGGTGTTCCTCGAGGTTGACGAGCGCGGCCGGAGAAAGGACAAGCAAGATGACACTGACCTGTACGCCGGTCCTCAGTATCAGATGGTGTACATCCCTCCTCACTTCCGCGCGAGAATCTTTCTCTTCATCCTATTTATCTGGGTGTTTGCGGCGATCACTGGAGTTGGCTTCACCATCATCCCGTTGGTGTTTGGCCGGCGAATGTTTAAGATGCTGATCCCGGAGCACATCAGAACCAACGACATTTATGCCTTTAGCATTGGTGTTTACCTCCTCGGTTCCATCGCTTATCTGGTCTTTCACATCCGAAGCGTGTGTTCCAACGTGCAGCGCGGGGCACAAAAGTCTTGGGAGTGGCTGACTGCTGGAGAGATCGGCTGGCGCACCGCTACTGTCCTGTTGCGAGGAGCGAAGCTGGTTTATGCCTATTTCTTCCTCCTCGTGGTATTCCCACTCCTTGTATCAGGGCTATTGGAGCTATATCTGGCAATTCCTCTCCACACATATATGTACCCACCTACCGCGGCGTCAGTTCAGGCATCAAGAGAGGGAGGATCCGAGGCAAGCCGTCATACAGTCCGAGTCATTCAGGCTTGGACCCTCGGTCTGCTCTATCTCAAGCTAGGCGCTCGCATGGTTACGACCTTGTTCGCGGATACTCGACTTGCAGTTGCCGTGCGAACGGTGCTACGGCGCGGCTGGATGCACCCCGATATTGGAGTTTTGACTAGAGCTTTTGTTGTCCCTGGTCTGGCCATATCAGCGGCGGCAATCCTGGGACCTCCAGCCATCACCGACGGCCTCATCAAGTACGGCTTGATTGCAGGCGCTCGACCCGGTGCGAATGAGCTGGCGGAAGTGGCAAGGTTGGCGATTGTGTATCGTCAATCGTACCCAGCCGTTGCACTCACAGCCCTACTCGTTAAGAATACGGTTGGGTTGGTCAAGGTATTCAACGGATGGACAGCCCGTATCCGTGACGAAGCATACCTGATAGGAGAGAGACTACACAACTTTGGTGCAGCCGCAGCGGGAGCAAGAAGAGTTAGAGGTGCTTGGAGAGCTGGAGGGGCAAGACTATAGAAGACCAGGCATCAGTTGGTATATTGATTTCTATTATTTTACGTCTGTCAATACTTGCATCTATTAATGCGGAGTTGGGTCCCACGGGTTTGGACCCATATTCACAACCACCCTGTACCACAACACTTGAGGGCCCGGACAAGCAGGAAGCGGGCCAACACAAAGCTATTCATGTAGCACCCCTATCATTTTAACTTAGAAGCGTTGGTTTCGGCCCTTTGTATTTTTTTCTTGGAGCGGGCGAGGTCCGTGGAAAAATAGGTAGATCCATCCTTTGGTCAAACTGGACTGTACACATACAAAAGATTATGCTCTCAGACAGCATTGCACACCGCTATCTCTTGGGCCATGAACTCTCGTAGTCAATTGCTTATCGATATTAAATACTACCACGTTGTATGCCAATACCCTTGACGAGCAACATGCAGACCTTAAAGACCGACAGCCCCTGGAGAACCCCTGGTCTGGGCTCTGTTGCATTCTTGGCGGCTTACGCTGGGTCGTAGCGCTAGAAATATGGTAAGTATGGCGTCAGTATACTTTGGCGGCTTCAATTATTGACGGGGTTATGATCTAGATGTAGATAGTCTGGATGAATACGACTCAAGAACGTGTCCTATTTGGACAAGTCTGAGCCCTACGTGGACAGAGCAAAAGAAAGTACGTGCGCTTCGGCAAACATAGCGTCCCGCACTCAATTCTTGATGATATGGCAAAAAGCAATTGTGCCCCTGACACATGAAGAACCTCTCTAACCTTGTCAATCCTGACTTGAACCCATTCTTAGAACAAGGGGAAAGTTGGAAACAATGGGACAAAGGTGGCTTAAAGCGCAGGACTGGCTTCAGATGCAAGTCACGTGAAGAAGAAACACACTGTTGCCCAATGGTGGGGTCGAGAAGGGGACCGAAAGCGCCCTTGTTGCCCATGGCTGCCAATAACCTTGCCCCAAGGGGCTTAGTGCATGATGCCGGCCCAAGGAGAATGGGGGGCGCGATGTGTCGCATCAACAGCGGTCGTCACAGGCCAAAACAGCAAACACCCTTTAACATCCAACAACCATCACCCAGCATTGGCGGCGACGTTTCCCTTGGAACTCCGCGCTTCAGCGGCCGCGAATACTAACCCCAACAGCAGCAGGATAAGGTAAGACCCAAGGTAAGTGCGGCTGCCGCTCGACAAAGAGGTGATTCCATTCCGGAGGAAGCCCTCTTATTCCCACTGTCTATCCTATTGCGAACGGACGACTTGGTCGGTGAGTAACATCCCCCGCCTGTTCTTGTCCCAGACGCCGACTGACGGAGGCCAACAGCTGCGCAACGGAAAGACACAGTCTGCACACAAAGAGACGACGTCTTTGTTCCGTCCTTTTTCTTTTCGACCACCCTATTTTATCACCCCAGCCCCAGCCTCCGACACCGTCGTCACCGCCGACCCTAACCCCGTACCTTGGTTCCCTACCCGAGCCAAACCACACCCATGCGAACCCGATCGAGCCAAACCATCTAGATACCCGATCGCTACTATCCGTCATGGCTTCAGAACCCCCTTCATCCCCGCCCGGCGCGGAAGCCACCGCCGAGGACACCCTCAACTGGTACAAGGCGCAGTACGAGCAGCTTGAGTCAGAACTCGCCGAGTTCAGAGAGTCGAGCAAGGAGTTGGAGCAGGAGTTGGAGAAGGATATCGAGAGGGCAGAGAAGCAGGAGCGCATTTTGCAAGAAAAGGCCGAAACTTTGGGCTTTGAGGTGGAGGAGTGGAAGGTGAGTCGACACATCCCCAACAGAATACAGACCCGACCAGCAGGACACTTGGCTAACTCGACGGCTACGTTGTCGCGCGCAGAGGAAATACAGAGAGTCCAAGACGGAGGCCAGCGCATCCCAGAATGCGCTCGAGAAGGAAATCACGACACTGCGAGACTCGAACCGGACTCTGCAAATGAAACTGAGGGATATTGAGGTGGCCAACGACGACTTTGAGCGGCAGGCGCGCAACACCACGTCATCGTTGGAGGACATGGAATCCAAGTACAACCAGGCTATTGAGAGGGCCGTCATGATGGAGGAGGAGATCAAGATGGGCGAGCAGGAGCGTGAGCAACTTCGCATCGAATCTCAGCGCTTGCGCGAGGAGCTGGGCGACCTCAAGATCGAGGCCGAGCTTCTTCAGGACAAGATCAAGAAGCAGGAGTCCCGTCATCTTTCCACCATCTCGACCGACCTCTCCGTTCTCGAGTCGCCAACCTTTGACCACACCGGATCCCCAGGGTCAACCGCCAGCTCACCTCTTATCACTACACCTCCCGAATCGAAGTCGCCCATTCCCGATGGCGACACGCTGTCCGAACTCCCCGATCCTCCTTCGCCGCCCATGTCGGATGTCTCGGCGCCCTTGCCCAAGGTCGCATCGACAAGAACTCCGGCTGTGTCTCGAAATGGTCGCTCTCGTCTTCCCTCAACGTCTGACAACAGCGTTACTCCCAAGCCCCGGGCTAAGCCTCCCACAAAGACGACAAGAGCGCCTGGCAGCCGAATCTCGACTGGCGGCACTACGACTATGCGCACCCCTGCGAGCCGCGCCGTTGGACCTCGGTCGGCTTCGCACAAGCTACCAGCTTCCAACTCGCTTACGCACATCCGAACTCTTACTGCGCAGATGCAACGCCTCGAGGCTCGTGTGCACTCTGCACGATCTAAGCTTCCCGGACCGACGCGCACGCCAACACGAGCTTCTCCGCGCTCTTCCGTCTATGGAGTCAGCAACGTGCCTTCAACGGTTACGATCCGCTCTCGCAAGCGCACTGTGGGCTCTACGGCGTCTTCTGTAGCCGGTGACGACACCACCCCAACCAACTGCCAGAACTCTGGGACATCCAAGGGTAGCCACATGCCCCGACTTAGCACATCTGGGGTCAGCCGGCTGTCATTTGGACCACTGCCGAACCGTGGGGGTCCCGACTCAGAAATCAGCAGGCCCAGCTCACGTGCTAGCGTCTCGTCGTATGCTCGGCCACCTTCACGAACCGCTGGAGACATGATCCCGCGACCTGTCTCTCGAACATCTCTCACAGGAACGCGAACTCCTATGGGCCGGCCCCGTTCATCACTTGGAGGTTCGATTCACGGTCACTCTGCCAGCATCAGCCATCTTGACCTGGAGGAGGAAGATGAGTCCGAGTTCCGGACCCCAAGCCGTAGAGGCACATACTCCAAGCTAGACCCTGAAGGAGCTATGAGCGGTATCCCGGGCCCTGGCAGCGGTATTCCTATGCCGGCAACTCGGCGCCAGAGCGGTGGTCGACGGACTAGCAACGGGCCAATGAGATCCAGCATCTCTGCTGGGCACAGGAAACTGAGCGATCTGGGAGAGACCTACTAAGGGATTTCTTCCTCACAACGTTTCGAAACTGTCCCAGTTTACGATTTTCTTTCATTTGGTTTTGCTTCACAGCGGTTCGAGCGGTTACAAAATTGGCAGCATTTTCACCTCGGTCAAGGATATCCATCATACAAGAAGGGGTGGGACGGCTCGGCATGGTTCACAGCAGGCGCTTTGAAGACGGTGTTGATGATGATTACGGAATCCATTCTTGTCTCTCTGGCAGACTTCGTTACTAATACCGCTTGTTTGGGTACATGGGGTTTCGGCAACGGGGTTTATGGACGTTATGAAGAGATGGCATCTGATATTTTTTTTTTTTATTATCCCGAGGGGCCTGGCCAGGCTTTATACCTACGAGGTACTATACCATACTACACACCTTGGCCGGGCCTGAAGGGACGGGGGTGTACCGCTGCAAAGCGAGTCATCGACCAGGCTGCCCGGCTGGCCTTGACGGCTCAAGCTGGCGAGCGGGTAATACTGGGGAAGATGATGCGAGGCTACTTCTGGTTCCCTCGCGGGGGCGGAGAGGGCGACATCGACAGTGTGGGGAGTGGTTCGATGTCTGACAAGGCTGGCGAACGACAAACGGCGGCCCGTGAATTAGTTAAACCTATCTTATTTTCCTTTGTTGATCAGGGGAGGGGGAGAAGAGATGAGGAGTAGATACAGACTGTGGAGGCGTACGATAGTATACCTTAGCTTGAGGACTGGGAGATGCCCGGCCTTGAAAACGCCCAATACACAACTTGATACCATTAAGTGCTGTTTCTAGATTTCAGATTGACAGTGGGGCGGTGATGTGATGGGGGATCCCCGATATGGGATGGCAAGATGATACAGATTCACAGAGATTGCTATTCATCATGCTCAGTACTCGGCGCCAGCAATGAATTGAGTTTCCAACCTGCAACGCGCGCAACAAGCCGTTGAGATTACACGAGACGGTGGTGAAGATCATCATGTTGAGCGTTGATGCCTCAAGACAAGCTAACCTGAGATACCGGGTGTAACTCTGAAGCTCAACTGTAGAATACCCTGCTCACCATTGGGCCCTGCAAAGTCAAGGGAAAAGAGATCGGCATCGGGCATCTTGCATGACGTTCCAACCTCAACCCTCAAAGGGGGGTGGTGGGGGAATACGTACTGCAAGTTCCGCTGGCCCAGCGCAGCAGTGTGTCTGTCTATCTCTGAATCAAAAACCTGCAATCTTTTGCTTTGGATTTGCCGGCATCCCGGACACGCCTACAATGTTGGGACTCGGAGGATGACCGCTCAAGGCTGCGGCTCTGCGGCGGCCCGCGGGACCCCGAGAGGACATCTAATTGGTAGAGGAACCTGATACATGGATCCAGATTTCGGGTTTGGGGCTCAACAATTGGGGACGAAGGACCTGTTCCATTTTTTCTTCTGTCTCTTGTGCCTGGGGGTGGGAGAATTAAGGTAGGGCGCTAGTGTCATTGGGCGTTAGCGGAGAAGCCAAGGTACAGGATGTCTGTGCATGGGGTTTGATATGGATGTCTTGGGATGATTGGGAAAGTTTGGGGTTGGGAGTGGGCTTGGAATGTCAAGGGAGAGAAGATAGGTTGTTGAATGACATTTTGGAGATGGAGGCATTTATTGTTATCGCGATGACGAAAACTGTAGATGTGATATCAGAGGCTTGTGTTGAATGCTGGGGATGATGGAGGCTTGAGCTTTTGACAGGGGTGGATGAAGCATTTACATGAGTGGAGATGTTCATCTTGGGATAATGGAGGCTCATGGAAGAAGAGGGAGCTCAGGAAGCTTTCTAGCTGGTCTTGGCTAGGTAGCAATGGATGCCAAACTACGATTAATAGTAGGATCGACTCCAATTGACCACGATTCAATCACTCTGAGCTGGGATATGAAGCG